CAAGAAAACAACAAAAAAAAAAACTTAATTTTTGGCAATGTCTAGTGTAAGCATACAAGATAATTGAATGCATGTTCCTGATCTGGGTATCTACAGCTATTTTTAACATGCATATTTTCAGGTATTTGACCTTACAAAAGGATGTAACAGGTTAAAGATGTATTGAACAGCTGTACAGTATACAGAACAATGGTTGTCTATGCAGTGATGGATTTCCTTTCTTCAATAGCGTCAGGCTCAGCAGAGAATGGAGAAGCACAAACAAAAGTATTTCATGACGTATTGATGTTTCCCATCTCTGCTTCAGCTGCAGGATGGGATTGCATACAGCCCAAGTAGACATATCTCTTTGGACAATAACCATACATTTTTCAAATGACACAATCCATTTCCTTTAGTATTGGTATTCTATTTTGTGATAATTATTCTTACTAGGAATGAGTGAAAATTAGTTTCCCTGAAATTTTAGCAAATTTTTAATTTTGGTGAAAAATACATTGGAGTCATGATAGAAGGCAAAATTAATGAAATTTTTGGTAACTTGCAAAAACGTAATGTGCTCAATGATAACGCAGAATATACATACAGAGGTTAGATAAAAAAATATGGAAACCCTACATGATTTGCAAGTCTGAAAGAGAAGACATGTTTCACGTTGAAAGCGGAAGTGATGTAACATTCTTTTGCTTCCGCTGTGTGATGAGACACCTAGCTAACAGGTGGGAAGCCTCACTTTTGTCATTCACTGCGTGCACTGCTAGTAATACCGAGTCATGTCAAAGCTTACTAAGCTTCAAAGAGGGCAAATTGTTGGTACTCGCCTCTGTGACTGAAGTTGCCAATTTATTTGCTGAGTCACAAGGTACAGTATCAAAGGTACAGTATCAAAGTATGAAGGCATATAGAGTAGCCCTGATGTAAGTAGTGGGCTGGCTCCCTAATGGGTGGATGTTCACCCATTAATGCCTTAATGGGTGGATGTCCGTCTAGAGGAGTGTGCGTTCACACTCATATGTAACGTAAGGCCTACCTGACTGAAAAAACTTAAAGGGCAACTCCACGTTCATGGGGGAAAAAAAATCACAAATAAAAAATATTACTGCATACACAATTATGACGCAAGCCATATTGTAATTTATTGTTAGATTTCCTTTTCAATCTGCAGTGCTGTAATTTTATATACCGTATTTGCCGGCGTATAAGACGACTTTTCAACCCGTGAAAATCTTTTGAAAAGTCGGTGGTCGTCTTATACGCCGGTATACGGCGAGCCGGTGTCAGGGCGGCACTTTTTCGAGGGGCGGCGCTGCCCCCCCTCCTCCTCCAACGGACACCAAGTACAGGGGTGGGCAGAGGGGCTGCTGTACCTTACCTGGCTCCGGTCCCGGTCCCACGACGATCCGGTCCAGGAAGCGCGGCTGCTCCTTCTTTCAGTTCGGCCGCTCGATGGTCCCGCCGCCCGCTCGGCTCCGCCTCCTCACCGGTGATTGGGCGCCAGCACTGGAAAGGCACACAGGCGACCAATCACCGGCGAGGAGGCGGAGCCAAACGGCCCCGCGAAAATCAAGCGGCCAAACTGAAAGAAGGAGCAGCCGCTCCTCTCCCCCACTGACACTAACGATGGGGCACTATTCCTCCTCCACACTGACACCAACGATGAGGTACTGTTCCTCCCCCACTGACACCAACGATGGGGCACTATTCCTCCTCCCCACTGACACCAACGATGGGGCACTATTCCTCCCCCACTGACACCAATGATGGGGCACTTTTCTCCCCACTGATACCAATGATGGGGCACTATTCCTCCCCCACTGACACCAATGATGGGGCACTATTCCTCCCCCACTGACACCAACGATGGGGCACTATTCCTCCTCCCCACTGACACCAACGATGGGGCACTATTCCTCCTCCCCACTGACACCAATGATGGGGCACTATTCCTCCCCCCACACTGACACCAATGATGGGGCACTATTCCTCCTCCCCACTGACACCAATGATGGGGCGCGTTGGAAGAGGGGTAGTCTTATACGGCGAGTATAGCTCAAACCCTATATTTTAACAGGAAAAGTAGGGGGTCGTCTTATACGCCCAGTCGTCTTATACGCCGGCAAATACGGTATAATTCAATGCAATACAGCAACCTAAAGGTGTTCAATACACAGTTGGGATATGCAATGCCCCAAGAGATCATTTCCTGCTTATGTGTGTGATTGGCTTGCTGATTTGCATCTGCACTAAGATTTTAAGCATACTTTATGCAAAAATCGACATTTTTTTGCTGAAAAATTACTTAGAACCCCCAAACACTGTATATTTTTAGCAAAGGTCCTAGAGAATAACATGGTGGGTGTTGCATTTTTTTCTATAGATTTTTTTATTGAAGAATGTGGCACATTTCATGGCTGAACAGCCACTCGAATCACTTGTGCCTAATAGGGAATCGCCGGCTTCACATTAGCAGGATGATGCCTGCGGGTCCACTGACTTCATATGATTTCCACCTGGGTGAAGTGGTTAAATATCCTAAACCTGTTCTTGGGCGAACAGCCCCTCGTTAGCCTCATTATTTTACACTTTTTCACAGTAGCAAAAAAATTGTGAAATAAAAGTCAAATAAGTTAAAGCAACAGTGCACAAATATTAAAAAGTTTAAAGAAAGCATAAATACAAAGAAAACTAAATAAAATAAAGTATCCTAAATACATCATCTAAATAAATTTAAAAAATAGCACATTTTTTCAAGCAAATTTTGCCTAAACAGCTAAATGAGCAAATGAGAGTTTCTGCTAAGATTAAATATTGGGCTAAGATTAATTACTTTGGGCTGAAATCAATTTAACTGAAATCAGTTCATTCAACCCTTGTTCAAACTAGTGTGTTTTCTCCTGCATCACGACCTTGCAATGCACAACGATGGAAATCACCTTATTCTCTATGGTGCTCATCAATGCATAGTGGAGTGTGATTTTTGAAAAGATACCGGTGCTTCTTTTAGTGCATTTTGTGGCCCCATATACTTCAATTAGAGTGCATGAAAATGTATGTACATCCTTATTTGGTAGGGTTCTGTGTTTAACAACCACTCTCCTCCTGAAAAAAAAATGCTTGAAGCATGCAACTGTATAAAAAATGTGCATGAAAACACACAAAAGCATGTTACAAAAAACGCACTAAAAAAGCAAGATTTTGCAGCACAAGTGTAAACATAGGCAAATTCTCTGCTTCTGTCCTACATTATGAATGCTCAGGTCAGCTCTAGGGCCACCAAGCAACTGTCTATTGTTGGATGAGAGTAGCATCCCAGGACATCCAGGAATTAAGACAATTAACACCTCCAAGAACCTTAATTAGCCATAATAAATCTCTTACAGAAGAATGCTGTTCAGGGACAGCTGCCTCAATGTCTTTTGTCACTTCTGAGAGGTCAAAGTCCTGAGTGAGATCAGCAGTTTCACTGCTGGAAGATGAAAAGGTTTTAGCAGACAGAGAGAAGCATTTTTTTGGAAAACCCTTCTTAATCTGATTGCATCGTTAAACAGCCCATAGCTACGACTGTAAAAATAAAACATTCATATGTTCACATAGTGAAACAAGCAAGATTTACAGACATCTATTCCTGTGGAATATTTACTAAAAACTGGCTATAGATACTTGAGGGTGTCCTGTCCAGTCTAAGTACCCATGGACTTTCTTGGGTAACTGCTTGTGTTGCTGTCTAATTCAAGATTACATCAGACAAGGAGAAAGTAACATTTAAGTACTTGTTTCATTTCAGTTCAGGCAACAGAATCGCTGAGTATTTTGGGTTTCCCTGTCTGTTCTGAGCCTAGTTTGAAAGCTTAGCTCCTGCTGACACCACCTTTAAAGTGGTGTAGTGCTTCCTTATTAAGAACTGCGGAGTATTTTGTATTCCCTGTCTGTTCTGAGCCTTGTTTGGAAGCTTAGCACCTGCTGACACCACCATAAAACCTTGACCAGGAGAACCCCCTGGCATTGAAACACAAAATAATCACACAGTTTAAGGTGAACCTAGACTCTGATTGTATTGTGGCAAAGCACAAAGGAAATAACAGTAAGTGTGTGCAAACGTTAGGCACTCTAACAAGCTTAGCCAAATAATCATGCACAGTACCACCAGTATACAAACCCAAATGTCCAGCAAGGCCAGAGTTGAAATGTTAATTACCGTATTTTTTGCTCCATAAGATACACTTTCCCCCCCCCAAAAAAATTGGATGATATGTCTGTGCGTCTTATGGAGCGAATATGGAACGGCCGGCCCGGTTACCCCCCCCCGCCACTGCCGAAGCTTGTGGCTTCACAGCCGGGTGCCCATTGTGCATGCGGGAGAAGCGCAACGCATTGTGAATGGCCCCGTAGTCTTCTGGGACCTGTTACGTGTCCCAGAAGACTACGGGGAAAGAGGCGATCGCAGCAGAAGTGGGAGCGGATACCTGTCAAATTTGGGGACACCCCCCCCCGCTCTCCAAAAGTCTGCAGTCTCTGGTCATCTCCTGTAGTTCATCTGCAGTCTCTGGTCATCTCCTGTACTGTGTCCGCGGTCTCTGGTCATCTCCTGTACTATGTCTGCAGTCTCTGGTCATCTCCTGTACTGTGTCCGCAGTCTCTGGTCATCTCCTGTACTATGTCTGCAGTCTCTGGTCATCTCCTGTACTGTGTCCGCAGTCTCTGGTCATCTCCTGTACTGTGTCCGCAGTCTCTGGTCATCTCCTGTACTATGTCTGCAGTCTCTGGTCATCTCCTGTGGTACGTCCGCATGTCTGCAGTCTCTGGTCATCTCCTGTACTATCTCTGCAGTCTCTGGTCATCTCCTGTACGTCCGCATGTCTGCAGTCTCTGGTCATTTCCTGTACTATGTCCGCAGTCTCTGGTCATTTCCTGTACTGTGTCCGCAGTCTCTGGTCATCTCTTGTATTGTGTCCGCAGTCTCTGGTCATTTCCTGTACTGTGTCCGCAGTCTCTGGTCATTTCCTGTACTGTGTCCGCAGTCTCTGGTCATCTCCTGTACTGTGTCCGCAGTCTCTGGTCATCTCCTGTACTGTGTCCGCAGTCTCTGGTCATCTCCTGTACTGTGTCCGCAGTCTCTGGTCATTTCCTGTACTGTGTCCGCAGTCTCTGGTCATCTCCTGTACTATGTCTGCAGTCTCTGGTCATCTCCTGTGGTACGCCCGCATGTCTGCAGTCTCTGGTCATCTCCTGTACTATCTCTGCAGTCTCTGGTCATCTCCTGTGGTATGTCCGCATGTCTGCAGTCTCTGGTCATTTCCTGTACAATGTCCGCAGTCTCTGGTCATTTCCTGTACTGTGTCCGCAGTCTCTGGTCATCTCCTGTACTGTGTCCACAGTCTCTGGTCATTTCCTGTACTGTGTCCGCAGTCTGTGGTCATCTCCTGTACTATGTCTGCAGTCTCTGGTCATCTCCTGTGGTACGTCCGCATGTCTGCAGTCTCTGGTCATCTCCTGTACTATCTCTGCAGTCTCTGGTCATCTCCCGTGGTACGTCCGCATGTCTGCAGTCTCTGGTCATTTCCTGTACTATGTCCGCAGTCTCTGGTCATTTCCTGTACTGTGTCCGCAGTCTCTGGTCATCTCCTGTACTGTGTCCGCAGTCTCTGGTCATTTCCTGTACTGTGTCCGCAGTCTCTGGTCATTTCCTGTACTGTGTCCGCAGTCTCTGGTCATCTCCTGTACTGTGTCTGCAGTCTCTGGTCATTTCCTGTACTGTGTCCGCAGTCTCTGGTCATCTCCTGTACTATGTCTGCAGTCTTTGGTCATCTCCTGTAGTACGTCCGCAGTCTCTGGTTATCTCCTGTAGTACATCCGCAGTCTCTGGTCATCTCCTGTACTGTGTCCGCAGTCTCTGGTCATCTCCTGTACTGTGTCCGCAGTCTCTGGTCATCTCCTGTACTATGTCTGCAGTCTCTGGTCATCTCCTGTGGTACGTCCGCATGTCTGCAGTCTCTGGTCATCTCCTGTACTATCTCTGCAGTCTCTGGTCATCTCCCGTGGTACGTCCGCATGTCTGCAGTCTCTGGTCATTTCCCTGTACTATGTCCGCAGTCTCTGGTCATTTCCTGTACTATGTCCGCAGTCTCTGGTCATCTCTTGTATTGTGTCCGCAGTCTCTGGTCATTTCCTGTACTGTGTCCGCAGTCTCTGGTCATTTCCTGTACTGTGTCCGCAGTCTCTGGTCATCTCCTGTACTGTGTGTCCGCAGTCTCTGGTCATCTCCTGTACTGTGTCCGCAGTCTCTGGTCATCTCCTGTACTGTGTCCGCAGTCTCTGGTCATTTCCTGTACTGTGTCCGCAGTCTATGGTCTGGTCATCTCCTGTACTATGTCTGCAGTCTCTGGTCATCTCCTGGTACGCCCGCATGTCTGCAGTCTCTGGTCATCTCCTGTACTATCTCTGCAGTCTCTGGTCATCTCCTGTGGTATGTCCGCATGTCTGCAGTCTCTGGGTCATTTCCTGTACAATGTCCGCAGTCTCTGGTCATTTCCTGTACTGTGTCCGCAGTCTCTGGTCATCTCCTGTACTGTGTCCACAGTCTCTGGTCATTTCCTGTACTGTGTCCGCAGTCTGTGGTCATCTCCTGTACTATGTCTGCAGTCTCTGGTCATCTCCTGTGGTACGTCCGCATGTCTGCAGTCTCTGGTCATCTCCTGTACTATCTCTGCAGTCTCTGGTCATCTCCCGTGGTACGTCCGCATGTCTGCAGTCTCTGGTCATTTCCTGTACTATGTCCGCAGTCTCTGGTCATTTCCTGTACTGTGTCCGCAGTCTCTGGTCATCTCCTGTACTGTGTCCGCAGTCTCTGGTCATTTCCTGTACTGTGTCCGCAGTCTCTGGTCATTTCCTGTACTGTGTCCGCAGTCTCTGGTCATCTCCTGTACTGTGTCTGCAGTCTCTGGTCATCTCCTGTACTATGTCTGCAGTCTCTGGTCATCTCCTGTGGTACGCCCGCATGTCTGCAGTCTCTGGTCATCTCCTGTACTATCTCTGCAGTCTCTGGTCATCTCCTGTGGTATGTCCGCATGTCTGCAGTCTCTGGTAATCTCCTGTACTGTGTCCGCAGTCTCTGGTCATCTCCTGTACTATGTCTGCAGTCTCTGGTCATCTCCTGTACTATGTCTGCAGTCTCTGGTCATCTCCTGTGGTACGTCCGCATGTCTGCAGTCTCTGGTAATCTCCTGTACTATCTCTGCAGTCTCTGGTCAGCTCCTGTGGTACGTCCGCATGTCTGCAGTCTCTGGTCATTTCCTGTACTATGTCCGCAGTCTCTGGTCATTTCCTGTACTGTGTCCGCAGTCTCTGGTCATCTCCTGTACTGTGTCCGCAGTCTCTGGTCATCTCCTGTACTGTGTCCGCAGTCTCTGGTCATTTCCTGTACTATGTCTGCAGTACATTGGTTCAGTTTTTTTTTTCTTGTTTTCTTCTTCTAAAACCTAGGTGCGTCTTATGGTCAGATGCGTCTTATGGAGCAAAAAATACGGTACTTCACTGAGATATTTGTCCCAAAATGAGCTGAATTAGGCTACCAAGAAATTGGCTAACTTTCTTTTGGGTTTGCAATGGCTAGGAACAGGGTTTAACTCTGCAGAAAATTTGTAATAATAATGTCCCCCTTTAATCATTTCAATACCGGGCAATTTTACACCTTCCTGCCCAGGCCATTTTTCACGTTTCAGCGCTCTCACACTTTGAATGACAATTGCGCGGTCATACAACCTTATACCCAAACTAACATTTTATCATTTTCTTCACACAACTAGAGCTTTCTTTTGGTGGTATCTAATCACCGCAGGGGTTTTTATTTTTTTCTAAATGAACAAAAAAAGACCAAAAATTTTGAAAAAAAAAACACGTTTTCCTTTGTTTCTGTTATAAAAGTTTACAAATAAATAATTGTTCTTCATAAATTTAGGCCAAGATGTATTCTGCTACATGTCTTTGGTGAAAATAACCCAAATTAGGATGTATTATTTAGTTTGTAGGAAAGTTATAGAGTTCACAAACTATGGTATAGATCTGAAAATTGATCAATCCTGAAATACTGACAGCCAATCTAATTTCTTGAGGTCCAAGAATGTCAGAATAGTACAAATATCCCCAAATGACCCCTTTTTGACAGTCTGATGTATTTCATAAGAGGAATGGCGAGTTTTTTGAAGTTGTATTTTTTTTTGTCATAATTTTGCAGAAAATGAAAAAAAAATTATTTTCACAATTTGTTTTTTTACATACTGTCACCAGTGCAGTACAGCGTCATCATATCTGGCATGGCGGTGAACAGGGACACTGACTGGTGACAGTATGAAAAAAAAAAAAAAAAAAATTATTATTTTTAATTTTTTATTACATTTTTTTAAAAAAATTTTAAGATTTTTTTTTCATATTTTACTATGACCAAAGTAGTACAATGTTACCATAGTAACATTGTACTACTTTGGGAAAGTGATCAGTATTTTTTTTTTTTACACAGTTTGCTTATAGCAAAGAATTACTTTGCTATAAGCAAGCATTTACCTGAATGAAATTGATTCAGGCCACAGCTAATCACATGACATGTGCATGTGACCTGCTGTGACCATTCACAGCTAGGCACTAGTATACAATGGATGGCATGAATGAAGCCATCCATTGTATACAACTCTCATGTGACCTGCTGTGATTGGTCACAGCAAGTCACATGGTACCAGCAAACGGGGGCCGGTACTCAGATCTGTCATCGGCCGAGTCCGAGGTACATGGCTGGTGACAGATTGCGCCGCTCTTCAACCGTGCGAACTGCGCATGTGCGGGAGGACGCCAAATGGCATGCACCCGGAAAGCTAGAGCATTTTTGCGGCCGCCAAACGGCTATAGGCCGGGCGGCTAATGGTTAATATCACTACAAAGTATAGAAACAACTCTTCTATGTGCTTGATGGGTCCCTAGTTGGGGCACATCTGGATTGAGGCCCCTTTTTATGTAAAAGCAAAATTTTCTGAAGAAGAAAAGGCACAGTAGTAGGAAACCTCACCCATCCCCGACTGATGGTAGTGGAACTAGAAGGTGGTCCCTTTAAGGATAAAGGTACAGAAAAAGATTATTAAAGTAGAGGATGGGGTTGGAGTAGACTCCAGTAGAATTTGTAATCCAATAAGTAGGGAATTGGCTTGGAGAAACAATTTCCTTTGCAGCTATAATATATTGAAGATCAACAGTGTCACTGTTCACAAAGACACATGCACTGCAGGAGGAGTCCTGCGTTCAGAGCAATTGGGGCAGGCAAAAAAGCTGTAGGCCGCAGTACTGAATTGAGCTAGGAAGTCTGTGTTTCAAGTGGTGGACTGTGATGCAAGTGTAATGAACTGAAATAACTGAGAAAACAGCAGGTTCCCTGATAACTGAAGACAATTTGAGTTGTGGTACCATCTCACCAAATCTGTAGCCTTAGCAGAGTGAAGAACATTCGCACAGTTGGGGGTCCCCCTTGTTCTCTGAATCCATCTGGGAATTAAACGATACTGGTCATGATTCCATGATCTGCCTGCCTGCAGGGTTGATTCCTCTTGCTTTTCTGCAATACCAATGGGCTGTAGTCCTTCTTTATGGCTCTCCAATGTGACCTGATCCAGCCTGCACCCTCTGAGTCCTCTCGCCAGTATCCACCACCCATCCTAACCCTCACACAGTCTCTCTTCTCCCTCCAGGAAATTCCTGGGCTTTGTATTATATGGGCCCCTTTGCCAGCTCTTCTGGGATAAGTAGCCTGCTTACAGCCTGCCTGGGCACAACAGTCCTGCCTTCAGCATACAAGTTCCACAATGCTTTGCTATACTCAAGTCTGTAATAGCTAAACTGTCCAACACTGCCATCTTGTGGTCAATCAATATCCTGCAAACAGTAACAGTGTAGTGTGTTACAGTGGATACATGATTGCACCAGATCAGAAATATAAAATCTTGGCCACCCACACTTTTCAGTTTTCATATCAGGATGATTTAGGTACAGTATATGCCCAATACACTTGGACCCATTGCTTCATCTCTACACCATAAAATAAATATAATAGATTAATTTTTTGTACTGCATTAAGAATAAATGATCTGAAAATGTCTCCTATATATTTCTCATGACTAGCTTTGAACAAACAGACACTAGACATGAGAGTTTCATTTTGTTATGAATCGATTTTAGGACCAAAATGTGATTTACTGAGTTTTGGATGCATATGAATTTTCAGATGTACATAGTAATGAATGTCAAAGAATCAGAAAAAAAGTTATAACGAAATTAACAAATGCATTTGCTTTTTTCGAATGACGTCACATGCAATAGTAGTTCGGGCCCATGTGGAAATTAATAAATTTTTCGAATTTGTTCGATAATTCGGATTCGAGTAGCTTGGAGTTTAAATTTTGTAATTGTTACAGTCAGTTCAGTTCCACAGTCTAATGCAATCCTTAGGTTTGTATAGTTTGCAATAAAAATTCTAACCAAAAGCTCCAAATACTTACCAAAAACTCCCCAGATCTTATTTCTTCAATTCCTGTCAGGAACCATAAACCAGGTGGAGACAGAAAGTGCTGTTAAAATCACACCTTTAATAAAATAGCAAATGTATAAATCCAAATTAGCATCAATCTTGGATCCTGTATCGAATAAGCCTACATACCATCCCAATAAAATAGCGGCTGCGTTCCGCTCCTATTATTCCCAACTATATAATCTTAAAAAGGACCCTACCACTCCTCAACCTACCCCAGAGCTGATCCATAAATTTTTAGATAAACTACCATTGCCTAAATTAGCACGTCAAAAATTGGAAGGGTTCAATCAACCCATCCTGGAAAATGAGATAAGTGCAGCTGTTAAAGCCTTCCCTAAAGGGAAATCCCTTGGGGCGGATGGCTTCACAGCAGAATACTACCAGGAATTCCAATCCATCTTAGTACCTCACCTTAAAAGAACTTCCAACGAAGCAGTGCTTAAATCCATGTTTCCATCTGAAATATTAAGGGCTATTATCGTTACTCTACCCAAACTGGGGAAAACCCCTGACCACCCTCAAAATTTTAGGCCAATCTCCCTACTAAACACAGATCTTAAAATCTATGACAAAATTTTAGCAATTCGTCTATTAAATATTACCCCTCTCCTCATTCAGGCTGACCAGGTGGGTTTTGTAAAAGGCCGACAGGCAGCAGACAGTACTTGTAGAATACTCAACCTGATGCATTTGGTCGAGTCAAGGGGGCTTCAAGCGGTGTTCTTGGCACTGGATGCCAAGAAGGCGTTTCACAGGGTTCACTGGCAATGCTTAGATGCTACCCTAACCAAATTTGGTATCCATGGTCTCATAAAGTCGGCTATCATGGCGTTATATACAGTTCCCTCCGCTCAGGTATTCACGTCTAACGCCCTGTCAGCTCATTTTAATATTACTAATGGTACAAGACAGGGTTGCCCTCTATCTCCCATCATCATTTCATTGGTGATGGAACCCCTAGCGACCGAGATCAGAAATAACCCACGGATATCAGGCATTCAAGTAGCGTCCACTTCTCATAAAATTGGACTGTTCGCGGATGATGTAATTCTTACTGTTACTGATCCAGCGAACTCTCTCACAGAAATTTCAGCTTCCTTGCAGTCTTTTGGTGAAGTATCTTACTAGGAACTTAACATCACAAAATCTTGTGCCCTCCCAATTGCTATAATGAAGGGCCCCCTGAGTTACCTCAAGGATAAATTTCCCTATCATTGTCCAATAAGAAATTGGACTACCTTGGTATCTGCATATTTGCTCCATCCTCACATACTTTCAAAAATAAATTTGAAAAATTGTACCAATCCACTATGTTGGAGATGCAATGGCTTGACAAATTGAAACTTCGTGGATAGGTAGAATAGCAGCATTTAAGATGTTAATATTTCCCAAAATATTGTATTATTTTAGAACGATCCTGA